ACATGTTGCAGTCGCAGCCACGCCAATCAGTCGTTAATACTTTGATACCTATATGTATATACATATATAAAAAATTAACTATACATACATAAGTATCTAACTAAATTCAGTAATTAGTTTGAATAATACCAAAAATGTACCATATATCCTCGCAACTGAACTTCAAACTTTCCCAAAATATCCGTCACAATTAGATACATATTTTACTTACAAGTTTCAAATGTGGAAAATTAAATACTAGTCTTCTCAAGGAGTTTCCGTTTATTGTTTGACCTCGCACAACAGACAGTAAGTTTATTCTCTTTGTTCACTTTAGAAATTTGTGAAATTTCAACCTGGCGAGCTCGTCACTAATCAACTGCAATAGGCTTCTACTTATTATTTCCTCTTTCTTTCCTGTTTTTCTTGTCAATTCCGCTTTATGTCCGTCTTTATAATCGTTCAAAAAAAAATTGACACGCATGCACTCACTATAGAAATGGACTTTCTTTTTCTTTCCTCCTTTCAAATTCTGTTCAGTTCAGTTTTTTGGCTATATCACAGTTACTTTTTTTTTAATATAATTGCAAAAAATACAAAATTAAACTTAGATAAAAAAATAAAGGTTAAAATAAGGCAGAACGTGCGCCTTCAAATTATGATCACACTTCTATTACCGAACGATACAGAGGAAGTGAACGATAGAGCTGGGATACTATCGATAGTTGGAAACTGTTGCCTATACTGATAGTTTTTGAAAACATCGATGTCGGTGTTTAGCAAATCTTCACTATATTCTCTTCACATCTCTACACAACTTCATGGCTCGAGGCAATTTCAAGCAAAAGTAAAATTTTAAATATTCATACATTACAGAACAATTCACTATTTATTTAGGTAAATACATTTTTCTTATATGGATGGAAATTCACAACACCGTCACCAAAAAAATACTAAGAATCATTATATGTATTAAAATTTTGTTATGCTATAAAACTCCATACATAATTTTTTTATAGAAATTTGAATTATACATCTTGAAATTTTGATAAAACTTTCTAGTATTTATTATGCTTTGTACAACATTTATAAAAAATGGATAAACATTGAATAGACAAAAAAATAATAAATACTGGTAAAAATGTTATTTCCACCAGCACTTTATTCGTTTTTTTTATTTATTTATTTATTTATTTATTTATTTAAATTTCCCTTGTCCTTGAGTTGTAAATTTAAACTAATCTGCCTTATCCTGAGTTTTGCCCGAAAATTTGTTATCCGCCCATAGTTAAAACATGGTAACTAAAAGTGAAAAGTGAACCGGTTCAGGGAAAATGAAACTCATGATACGACTGAATGTTTTTTTTGTTTTTGTAGTACCTACTAAAAATGTATTAATATAACCACAATAACTCCCTTGCACTTGAAAAGGGACAAAATTTATTTTTCCATTTATAAAATTCAGATTTTGACTGTCCCTATTGCATGGAAATATATGTATGTACATAAGTATACATATCTAGTTCAGATGTACTGATAAATTAATGTTTATTCTATTATTATAAAGTTCCTTTAGATTCATTCAAATAAAAAAAAATATGTGTAATTTATAAATTTTCAAAGAATTGAGGTTTTCAATTGAACTCTGTTACATAATGTGGTTCACGACGAAAGTACTATCGATACTATCGATGTTTTCAACTATCGCTTCGAAAACTATCGACACAAAAGATGATGAAAACTAGTGATGTGCTGAGTCAATACTTTCGAAGTATTGATCGATACTCGGTACCAATTTAAAAAGTATCCAATATTCTCGATACTCGGTACCGAAACATTTAGGTATCGAATAAAAGCGCACATAGGCCAAAAATACGCAAATAAAGGTTCAGGGAAAACTCGCCTATCAAAACCCGAATGCAGGAGCCAATAGAGCTTTTAATACTGATTCAAATGAAAGATGTATATATGTCGGTTCGAGGCCATAATGCAGTGAAACTCCAACTTGTTTGAAACATTTTTGTTCTAACTGAATCGTAAGATATAATTTTTGTAGTAGAAAGCGCAGTAAATTTCTTAAGAACTGCGTACTGCCTTAAGGAAATTTGACTCAAGAAAATTTCTTACCCATTTCTTGTACGTCATTTTATATGGAGTTTTTGCTTTTCTTGAGAGCTGTATACAGGCCTTTAGCGACAATTTGCGAATCGGTATCGGTTTTGTTGACGTATTGTGGGGAATTAAATTACCACATATGATTAATTAATAAACTAAAACGTTTATTTAATCTTCTTCCAAAAACTTAAAACTTATGACAAGAACTTTTATTAGAATGTGCACGTTGAATGAATGATTTCGAGAATGATCTAAAAACCTCACTGGAGAAATTTTACAGTTTTTAACTTGCAACCACAAAAGTGAAAAAAAGAGTTAATAAAAAGGAATAGAGGAAAAGTCAATTCAACAAAAGTGTTGCCACGCAAGGCGAATTCATGTTGTGTTCCCACAGTACCATATGAAATGTTTTTACGTCAACAAGTGCGATATCGAAACTTGTCGCTAACTGGTTACATAATCTCTCCCCTGAAAGGCTTCATTATCCGTCAAACCATTTTTCTTAAACCTTGGATCGACTAAGGGGAAAACTGATAAAATAATATTTCTCTGTTGCGATAAGTTCAAGCCGATATCACATAAATTAGTAATGAAAGTGTTTTCTAAACTTAAAATGCATATAATGGCGAAGGTTTAACGTAAAGAATCGGTATCGGGTATCGAAAAGAAAGTATTGAGTACCGAAATCTTTTTTAAGTATTGGGTACCGACAATTCAGCACATCACTAATGATAACGCAAAGTCAGCGTCACCGATGGCAAAGTTGTCGTTCCCCTTTCTACTAGACCGATAGAAAACATTTTATGCATCTAATTTTTTTTTGTTAGCTATATTTTCAATACAGATCCAAATAAGGTAAATAAATGTACACAAATATAACTATATGAAACACCAACATCTCCCTCGATTCTAAATTTGCCTATCGTAATCAATGGCAGCCCTAATCACCATTTTCGAAAGTGAACCGATTTCGCTCGTGCTGTACACCGCCATTTTCATTTGCGAAATTTCTAGCGCAGCGTTGCATTTACGTGTACAACTTTGTGTGGGCAGCGGAACGTGGTCTCCCCACCGCGCCAACTTGTCTGTACCCCACCGCTAACAATTACTTGACCACGGCGACCTTATTTAATAAATTACCCGAGACTACATATCTCTTCAAAACAATTTCTAACAAAATTTACTTTGGATAAATCGAAAATATTTAAATAAATAGGGAATGAACACCTAAACATCATTATGCTCGACACAGCAATCCACCATCTTGGATGATTCAGCAACTTATCTTCATTTCGGTCCTTTACACCAAATATTTGTTTTTTAATTCTTTTAGGTATAAATATTATATGAAAAGCTTGTATTTTACTTACGATTAAAACAAAAAAAAATTTAGCTCGGCCGAGAAAATTTAGTAAAACTTTGCCTGGATTATCAACACACACCACTACTTTAGTTTAATGCAGAATGGGAAGTGAAAATTCACGAAAAAATTTTTACGTTTTTAGCTGTTCGACTGCGAACGAGAAGAGATAATTAAATATTGTTCCGAAAGGCGCAAGATAGCATATGTGCAAGTGAGACAACACGATTTTACTGACAATCCACAAACCGGTTCAAGGTGTGTTTAATCACCTGCGTGCTGCCGTACGAAAGAAAAACTTCTTTGCAATGAAGGTGTACGAAGGGCGTTTTCATACCACCCAAATTGCGCAATTTCGAAACTTCTCATTTTCAGCTGAAACTGCGATATGATTCTTAATTTGACCGAAGAACGCAGATAATAAGAAGGAAACAACACGTTATATTTGTAGCGAGTGTGAGTTGCTGGAGCGTGCCTTACCGTTTTCTCTCGCAAGCGAGATAGAGTTTTGCTGACTAGGCATTTGGCAGCATACTTTTTCATTTGTAAAATGTCGCCAGAAAAGAAAGTTCGAGCTTTTCAGGCCAAATTTGTGGTTTCCACCAAAATAAACAATGTTCGTACTCTGATGAATTCTGTGATATAAGAAAATACCTGTCAAACAGCAGAAATGATAGTTGAAAGCCTGCGAAATCTCGCAAACCCCTCGGTATGCTAGAAAAAGTATGCTTTATACATTTTGCGGTTTACAAGTGCGGGATCTCTCGGATGCGTCGTCACGCAAGAGAGATTTTCCAGCACGTGAAGGCGGCCGGTTATAGGCATGAACGAAAGACACAAGATCACGCGGGACGGAAAGAACGAAAAAA